GAGGGCAGTATTCACAATCTGCATGCAGAACGCACAGCGGATGATGGCATGAAATCATGTCTTCGGATACACACTGGCTAGAAGAGCACCTTGGTGTCACATTGTGCAGCTGTGGCTTTGGGGCTTAATTAGACCAAGATGACGGCGCTCCGTGTTGTGCATGGGAAGTTTGTTTGAAGAATGTCAATGAATTGAAAGTCAGAGCAACCATTCTGTTAAAACAATACTTAGCTCTTGCCCCATGTGGTTTTATTTGAGAGCTGAATGCTGATGTGAGTGAAGTGAAATAGGAGAATTCTGTGCTTTCCATCCTTTTTCTTTCGTCTTTCCATGCGTGCAAAAAAAATATATGATTCAGAAAGGACATGAACTCCACTACACTGGTAGGAACTCTTTCAGATTACTAGGATAAAATATGACCACTCTGCTAGCGCACAAAGACTTCATCTAAATTGAAATCACTTGGGGATGAGAATCACATAGTGCACCAGGGGCATTTAAACCCTGGCAGTAGTTTTGAAATGTTGAAGGACGTGGTAGTTCCAGAAAAAAATAAGGGGAAGTAACATAAAAAACCCTCGCATTGATAGCAGTGCAACTTAAAAAGGAGAGAGGAGTGTCTGGCCTTGCTGACTAGCTCTTACAGTCTGTCGGTGTTTGAGCATCACCAGCATGCCTGAACAAAGAAAGAACTTGCACTGGTCCCTCAGCTTTTTGGTGAGGTATAGATTTATTGGGATCTGAAAGGGGGAGGGAAAAACCTACAAAAGCACCAAAAGCTGTGGCTTTGGATGAGTCAGCATTTCCATTTGACATGATCATTCAGAGATTTTTGTAACTCATCCAAAAAAAAAAAAAAGCCCCAAACAAACAAAAAACCAGCAACCTGGGTCTCAGCCTGAAATTCATTTGCTGTGCAGAAACAAGAGGTTTTGAGTTATGCAAGTGCAAATTTTCCTTGAAGAATATTGTATGTAAAGCCTTTTTTTTGCATTTGTTTATCTCCAAAACAGGTTCATTTTTTAAAATGAAAACTTGAGCCTTCGGTCCCTCCTGTGGACAAATAGCCTTACACAAGGTCTTGTTTCATTTTAGAAAAATGAATTGCTGCGCCGGTGGGGTAGTATTTGATTGCTTTAAAAGTTCCTGTCAGTGTTTTAGTTTTGTTTTGGTTTTTTTGGTTGTTTTTTTTTTCTTTTGTTTGTGGACTTGCTGTGCCTTTTGCCCGGCCGTATTTAGTCTGCATACTAAATGTTAGTCCGCCCAAACACTTTACTTTGTGCACTTAGCTTTTTTCCTATTTTGTTTTCCTTTCTCCTTTATTCTTTCTTTTTTTTTCCTTTTTTTTCTTTTGCTTTCACCCAGATGTACTTTAGACAGAGACAGACTTTGCTCCGATGGGCCGGATTTTAGTCCGTGCACTAAATTTTAGTCCGCAGACTAAAAATAATCCGCGGATTATTTACTAAATTGATTCCCTCACTGAGAACTACAGAGACTTTTAAACTCCTGCTGAGATGTACGTGCAAGGGGCTTCATGGCTCACAAGTCTCACTGTCTGTCCATCCTCCCTCCCCTTCCCACCACGGAGCATTGGCCTTGGCGTCGTTGCCCCGTGGCATGGAAGTGCTGGCGTGCTCATCGCCGTGGGTGGCAGCCGCTCGTGTAGTTCTCCGTGGGTGAATTTGGGCAGCTTTCCCGGTGGAACTGTGTTGAATGGGAAGAACTAAAAGACAGCAGAGGGTTTTGCTTTTATTTCTTAGGGAGATATTCAAAAGGGAGGCGGGAGGGGACAAATTGAGGGGGAAAAAAAATTTCTTAAGTAACGGGGGCGACGGGTATGAGGGGGAATAAACCCACACTAGAGAGAAATTCAGTCCATACCCGCACTCCTGAGGTGGTACGTCCAGTTCCTGAAGAATCCTAAAGAGATAACACCAGCAAACCAAATCCAGTGGCGGGGGAAGTCAATCCAAAATGGAGAATAATCCGCGGCGGCCTGAGGTACTCATAGCACACACAAATTAAAAGTATCCAAATTTAAAGTACGGATCTCGGATTTTTACCTTGTCTTCAGCACAAATTATAAATTGCTAGGGATTTGGGTTTTTTTGAAAAATGAACCAAACAAAACCACCCAAAAGTTTACATTGTGTGTCTGAGACAGATTTACGAGTGGGATGCGCCTTTGGAGACAAACTAATCTGGCCACATGGTTCTGTGAACATTTATATCCAGGACCGAGGACTGAAAATTCTTTATGATGGGAATTTCAATTACCCTTTTAGTTCAAGTTAGAGTTTTGATTTCAAGTTTTTTTATTTTTTAGTAAATGCACTGGCATTGGAACATAAATTTCATATAGAAATGTTTCTATACTATGCCTCACCATTGCACAATCGATTTTTTGGCATACACTGTGGTGAAGTTGGACTTGCTGCTATGGAGACTGATGTTTAAAGTTTCTAATTGTATAAACATTTACTATGTCCCCCACACCATGGATTTCTTATAATATTGGCTATATTTTTCCTTGCTGGACTATTCTCTTTTGGATTGACTCCCCCTGTTTGGATTATTTCACTGCATTATCATCTTTAGGACTCGTCAGGAACAGGACATTTCACCTCAGGAGTACGGGTATGTACTTAAACATTTTTTCAAATTACTAGGCCTAGCCTTAAAAAAAAAAAAAGGGAGAGAAATGCTGGAAGTGGAATATTTGAGTTCAAACCACATCCTTGAGGCAGCAGCCAGGTGAATGTTGTAACACAAGGTGATAGAGATGAGATGGGCACAGACCTGCAACTTGTTTCATGTGTTAGTTGCAGAGGAAGGCCACGTGAGGCCTTCTAGTACATACGTATTTATTTAAAATTTTTTTCCCCTTCCTGGTTTGAAACAGTTAGGGCAGACTTTGGGAACTGCCTACCCCAAGTGACTAATTCCAGATCCAAAGGCAGGCCAAGCAGTTCTCAACGGGGTTTAGGAAACATGTTAGGGTTTCAAGGACTTGAAAACAAGAAGTCAGAGAGTGGACTAGCAAGTGCTCCTTTTACAGATGTCAGATTTGTGACTGTCTGCCTACTAATTTGCTCAATATAAGGGCTTGTCATCTTCACCTTAAGGAAAAAAAAAGGCTTTCTTTTTCAAATCTCTATCGTAGCTGATATGTGAGCTGTACTGAGGGAAAAAACACAGCTAAGAGTGAAGTACTTAAGTTTCAAGCTGTGATAAATCACACTTGTTAAAATATCACTGCAAAGGTGATAGTGGGTGGTAGTTTTACCTCAAGTTAAACACAAAGCAGCTTCACTTCTGTGGGTTTTACCTCAAGACATACTTATTTGTCCTACTTAAAAAGGGTAAGGGGGGAAAAAAAAGTGTTAGACAGTCTTAGATTTCATTGTGGTCAGGCTGTGACTTGGGAGTGATAGTTGCATCCACTGTGCACTGTGGCAGCAGTCCGAGCTCCGCAGGCAGCGAGCGCAAAGCAGCTCCTGCTGCCCCTTCACGTGACCATGCACTGATGGCATGGTGGTCAGCAGAGGTTCTCTGCCAGCAGTGTTAAGCTGAAGCCTTTCTTTTTGTCATTATAGGCCTCGTGTGAAAACTTTTTCAGTTTGTTTTTCAAAAGCCTGGTAGTAGGAATTAAGTCAGCTCTTCCTGTACTGACCCCTTGACTTTCCAAGTCAGGATTCCTTGCCACACAAGTTAGTTAGTCCAGCATGCACTGCAGCAATCCTAGGTGCTGCTGACCCAGCTGGGCATCAAAATTTCAGTGCCTGCAGAATTTGGCATTTGTGTTTGATTCTCATTCAAGAGAGCATATATGTCTGGTTTAAAACCTACTAAAGGAGTGCCCGTGCAAGTTCCTCATCTGCGATTAACTAGCATGTCATGCGCTGATTTTTTTTTTTATTTTTTTAGGTTGGTTTTTTGGGGTTTTTTTCCTTTTGCTCCTTGGTGCTGTGTGGCTTGAGTTCACCTGCACTGGTGCAAAGGCATTCTGGATTACCTCAATTTTTACCAAAAATGCTGGCCTCAGAACTTAATACTTGCGCCCACCCCACTGCCTTTTCCCCAGGCTGTGTATCACCTGCAGCATACTGAGAGACAAATGCTTGAGGAGGCCATCCAGGTCACACATGATTATCTCCTATTTTGCTTATGTTGTAATGAGAAAGGAGGATGGGAGTGTGATTAGCAGTGGGTAGAACCATTCTTAGACATTTATAACAAAGCTGCAGTGAAGAACTCTGTTTTGTAATCACTCAAGGTAAATAATCTGTTAAGAGTAAAATAGTTGGTTCTCTTGACGCAATTTTCAGCTGTCCTTTCAAATACCAAATGTGCAGGAATTATCCCAGTAAATTTATGGGAATGACTTGCCAGAATAAGGTCGCAGAAGGAGTAACTTGCAAATTGGAGCTAGACATTTCCTGCACCCCACCCGTGCTTTCCTTGTTGTTCTCCAAAGTTGAACAGCAGCCTCCATAGCAACAATCTGACCTGCCTGCCTGCAAAAAGTCAATGTTAGTAAGACTTCATTCACTAGCCAGAAAAACCCCAACCCAAAACCGCAGCAGGGCCTTAGGAAATTTTTATCTTCAGTGAATCCTGCTCATTTGAACCCTCCTCCCCACCTTCACTCCACCCCATATGCATGGCTGGTAGCACCTGTGTGTGTTTATCATGATTTTTTGAATGAGTTTCCCCTTCATTCTCCAAGTTGTTTTTCTGAGTGCGCTCTCATGAAGTCTCTTGCTGGCATTGCACCTTCACTCCAGTGCAAGAAGTTGCAATTAACCCTTTCTCAACCCCAGGAACTGGATTTTCCCATACTTACTGCAGGACTTTGATTAACACAAGCCCCAAGTTTGTTCCAGCTTGCTGGGCAGCGAGAGGTTTAATTGCTCTGACTTGCTTCTGGTCAGCAAAGGAAAAGAAACATACCCAGACAACCCGTTTCTCCTTGCTTGTCTTCTTGTTGTTCGCAGGTCTTCCGGCCCCGCACTCCCCCAGAAGCGATCGCGCTATGTAGCCGTCTGTTGGAGTACACCCCCACTGCCCGCCTGACTCCCCTGGAGGCCTGTGCGCACTCTTTCTTCGATGAACTACGGGACCCAAACGTCAAGTTACCAAATGGGCGAGAGAAACCTGCACTCTTCAATTTCACCACTCAAGGTAGCCCGAGAGCGTTGAAGGATCCCTTCTTTGGGAAGAAGCTCTGGGATAAAATGTTTGTCGTAATGCTAGTGTTACTCCCTTGAAACTAAAAATCTCCCAGCGGGACAAAGGTTATTAAGCAGTTGCATAACCAGCTGTCCATTTCAAAAAGAGAGGAAAGGGACTTGGAGTTGCAGGATTTTCAGGTGTCTGGTACCTTCAATTCAAATTTTGTGCCAAGGGTTGTTATTACTGGATTGCATCAAGGATTACATTTGCAGTTCGGTTTCTGCAACCCAGCTGATGGTTTTGTGTGAAATACCACAGTCAATGGGCCATGGAGGTTAGATTATCATTTGGAGATGCTTCTTCCTACCTGAAACACCTTAGCTAGTAGTAATGCATGTTAGGTTGGCAGGGAGGTTTGTAGTGTTGCTGCTCATTTTGGTTCTGGATGCAGGAGAAACACAGAGGCTTTGGTGTCCAGATTTTGTATGCTGTACAGTTCATCTAGCATTACATTGACTTAGGAGTTTAGAAACTGTAAAAATGATGGACAATAACCTTTTTATTTGAAGTCGGACTAGTATCAAATTTTCGTACCATTCAATTTTTTTTACACAGAAGGCAGAAAAGTAAAACTGATATCCCCCTCATAATTGTTTTACCTGCCAAGACAGAGAATGAGAAGTATGGCATACAAATATGCTAGTAATGAATTCTGGAGCACTCTGTTGTTATTTTTTAAGTGATTAGCTGCCAGTTCTCACCCTGTGAGCAAGAGTCGGGTTTTTTTGAAAGTCTAAAACACCTTTTGGCTCAGTTAGCATCAGTATCATATTTCAAACCCTGTAGGGCGTGCAGTGCCCCTCCGGCAAAACTTGAAACAGAGCCCTCTCCTTCAACATGTGGAGCCCTTTTATTTGCTAAAAAACAAGTGGGTCTGGGGGAGAGGGCCAAAAGGCTTTGCATTTGCACAAAGTAGTATTTTAAGCTGCCTGGAAATACACTTTTAACTTGCTTTGAGTGACTGCCTTGCAGAAGGTGATGTATTGAATATACTAAAACATTTCTGAAGCATAAACACATGAAAGTGTTCCAGTAAATAGCTTCTGCTTCCAGGTCACTGTCCTCTGTGCTGGTTTCTGCATCTGTTGTTGGAAATTTAGGAGTTATGTTACAAGTCCTTCCTTGTTACAGTATTTCCTTTCTAGGGCCATCTTCAGTAGCTAAAACAGTTTTGATCGCTGTATCTTAATACAGCTTCACCCCTGTCCTTGAAAGTATTTATTAATTGTTTCATAATGACTAGGACTGAAGATCGGACCTATCTACTACATGAAAACAAGGATTTTAAAAAGGATGGAAAGCTCTATATTGAGTCTGTTTAAAAATCCTTTGAGGAAAAGCAGGCACGTATTTTGGGTATGTGTCCCTGGTTCCCCTCAGGCAGAGTGGAAACTGCTGGGTAAGCCACACAGCAAATTTAAAGCTCCCTTATGCCATCCTAAAGAGTTGATATGCTGTCCCCTTGTGCAGTGACTCGTGGGTATCGTAAGAGAAAACAGTTCCTGTGGAACAATTTCTTTAAGATAAAAAAGGAAGTCTCTGTCATCAACAGGTGTCAGTTTTACTATCCGTAAAGGGAAGGCAGGACAGAGCCTGGTCATTAATGCATTGCCAGATAAGCACCGTTGCAGGCAACCAACCAAACCCAAAAAAAAATAACTAGTTATTTTTAAACACAAAAACACTTCACTTAGCACAATGATTTTAAGAGCTTTGTAATTATTAAATGTGCAGCAGTGAGTCTTGTGTGGCAGCAGTCCTGACTCAAGATGCACAAGAAACCTTTGCAGTCCTTGTTCTTTAGCCAGACTGTGCAAGATCCTGTCAGATTGGCTGGTCCAGAGCAGAAATCCCAACTGAGAAACAGAGCAGATCATTGCTCACATCATCAGATGATGATTCACCTCAGGTCATCTGTGGTAATTTAAAAAGTAATGAATGACATCCTTTTGTTTAAAACGGCTTTTGTTTTCAACAGGCAATATAAGTTTTAGAAGTGTTTTATTTGGCTCTATCCAGTTGCCTGCAGCTTGTGAAGTAGGAGGTAGCTGCAGAAAGCTTGAAGGCAAAATTGTTAGGAATAACAACATTACAACCAGTAATGCATTGGATTGATTTTTTTCAGAAACAAATTAAGCATCGTACCAAATCAGCTGATGTGGACACTGATGCTGCTCAGATAGAGTCTAGAAAAAAAGCAGTGAGAGTATATGAAAGATAAAGATCATGGTCTTTGACCACCAGCTGTAGTTTTGTGGCATGTAGGTGCTTACATGGTCATCCTGGTCGTTCTTAATGTCTTGCCTGTAAGTTTCTCTTCATTTAAACGAATGTTATATGCTAATTGGGTTTTGAAAAAATTATTTTAGCCAAGGAAGTATCTCCACTAGCCACAGAGCTGCAGTTCAGTGGCTGTTAGACCTGTGAGACAGAAAGCAATTTTTCTCTTATAAGCTGAATTTTCAAGCAGTCTGTGAAATTACTGCCATTCCTAAACTTATAGTGACATGTCAGTGGTCATGCTGGGTCACACATGTTAATGTCACTCCATGTTGGCCATTAAAGACTGTAAAATTCTTCCTGTGATTCAGCACTTAGGAATGGTTTTCATGGTTTTCAATGACAGTGGCTTGAAGTGGGAGAGTGTTTTTTCTTTGCTTGTTGAATGACCTTGGCTTGTGGCCTTTAAGAAATTTATTTTATAGATAGATAATAGAAAGTTTGTTATTGTGACAAAATGCGTTAAAAAGAACAATTTTTCCAGGGATTTCTTGAAGTGTTGATGTCTCAAGTATAATGATACTGAAAAAGAACACTGCGCTGTTTCCCAACACCAGGCATTTCCTTGTGTTTGGGGAATGAAGATGATCTGTGGCTTGTGGCCTTTAAGAAATTTATTTTATAGATAGATAATAGAAAGTTTGTTATTGTGACAAAATGCGTTAAAAAGAACAATTTTTCCAGGGATTTCTTGAAGTGTTGATGTCTCAAGTATAATGATACTGAAAAAGAACACTGCGCTGTTTCCCAACACCAGGCATTTCCTTGTGTTTGGGGAATGAAGATGATCTGCTAATAAAA